TTGAACTTTGCTAATATCTCAGCCTGTCCAAAATTACTAATCAGATAGTAAGTTGCAGTATAATATCAGCTTAGATGTAGTTTCTCTTATCCCCACCAGTGTCTAATCAAAATCACAAAGCTACCATAAAATAAGTGATATAGGAGTATGTAAGCCACAACTAATGTAAAATGAGCTGTGGACATCATATGCTTAAAAAGATATTTGGGACTAACAGGACAAAGCTATGTCAGTAAACTCTGTTTGAAACTGTTTGTGCATTGAAGATACCTCTTCTTTTGAGTGAACATGAGACTTGTGAGTTCCATTCAACTGCTTTGCATCTTTGTCATAGTCGTTGACCAACATAGATATAAGCCTGCGTAGTGTGTTCCTCCTGAGCAGAAATATCACGGAGACACCCTTCTTGTTCAAATAACTAACTATATCTTCAGGATTTTCCAAGATTCCCTGGGAAAACACAATGTTGGAAGTTATGGACAGACACATATTTAACGTACGGTAGGGGTAAGCATAACTCCAATCATTCTGATAAAAATGAGCAGAGCAAGTTTCAACATGGATCATAATTGTTAATTGTCAACGAGCTTGGATGGTGAATTTTGCTTAGTACGGAGTTTTAACTTTTAAGAACTACAACCTGTAGGCATGTTAGTACTTGGCAGTAGGCACATAGCCACATAGGCCAAAGCTTTGAGAAAAACATCCATATATGCAGTATGATGAGTTGAGTCATAGCTATAATTCTTGCAGAATCCAAACTTTGGTAAGGAAAATAGATCATATAAAGGACTACAACCTGTAGGCATGTTAGTACTTGGCAGTTGGCACATAGCCACATAGGCAGCATCAGTAATAATTCATCTGAAGCTAGAGATCAGATGCATAATGGAGCCGATAGCTAGACAAGATAGTAACAAGCACCTCCCAGAAGCACTTTGGTCAGACATTCATATCTGAATAAACAATGAATTTATGAAATAGGTGAGCTCCATGCAATTGACGGCTACAATCGCCCTGTTCGTTTGGGCTGGTTTGGCTTATAAGACATGGTTGAAAGTACTGTTGGCTGGTTTGGTGTGAGAGAAAAAGAATATTCTTTGGCTGATAAGCCATGGCTTATAAGCCAGATATGAGCAAACAAATAGGCTGAATAATTATAAGTATACGTAAAACTAGATCCCAAATCAATATACCCAAAACTACAACAGCTAAAAATTCAAGGAGAAGACCACAAATATGACAGCGTCCCAACACTAACACGGATCTAAGAGGCAACCCTAACCCCAGATCTCCAATCAATATACTTGAATTCGATTCACGCATTAGTGCTATGCCCTGGAAATCGCAGCAACCTAGCACGACTAGCACGACATGGCCATGGCGTAGCATGTGGCCAGCGGCTCGGAGAGGAAGCAAGTGAGGCAGCGATCAAGAGATCTGGACTACTCATACCTTGTCGCCGCCGTTCATAGATCAACGCAGCCCTAGTGGACGACGACCCACATCCTCCTCCACGAGATCCGCCGACCGCATCACTAGGGCGTCGTCGCATCGAGGCTCGTCGGGTTTTGGAGGGTCGCGACCTGCTGCCCACCGGGGCGCGGCCCTCGCCCACTGGGGGTGCGGCCTCTAGCCTGTCGGGACGCAGCCCTCCGCCACTGGGGCTCGGCCTCCTGCCTGGATCCGACGCCGACAGGGAAGGGGGTGAACGGTGGATGCAGGTTTAGGAATTTGCTTTCCTTTATAATTTTTTACTTACCCACAAGTCCGTCATAGATTTACCATAGAGTTGCCTAAATAATCTGTGAGGTCCAACCATGACGACAACTTAACCAATCGTCATAGATCTATCATCTCAAGAATGAACCGTCACATATGACAACATTCTATGATGATTTCTTAAAAGGTCACTGGTGAACCGTTATATATAAGGGTATTTTTTGTAGTGCTGTCAGCATGACGTACAGCATTGCAAGGAGTACCTTAGCTAGGTGCATGCACGCCCAGCCAGCCAGCTTCCACGAAAGATTCTTTTGTTTTTTTATAAGATAAAAAAGATAGATTTAATTTAATTATTTGTACTCATCTGAACAGTAAGTTCATGCATGGATTGTTGGGCGAGCGAGAGCATTGGATACTTTTGCTAGACTAGATTTGCCTCCATTTTGTTAAAGAATTACAATTCTCGTGATTGCTTAATCTAATCAGAAAGTGCTCGAAGGACGCGCTTTGTGTCTCCGATATGATCGTGAGGAGGCTTCGCGTCTAAGCAGTTTGCAGTTGCACGCTAGCTGTGCTGTACCTGTGCGTGCTGATACATCGTGGCTCTGTTCGTTTGGCTTATAAGCTCTACCTTTTTAATTAATAAATAATATTTTTTCTCAAACAAATCAGTCAATAATACTATCAATAATGGTTTATCAGCCAAGCGAACATAGCACATAGTTTTTGGTGTTGTAAAGGTGAATGCACGCGCTGCTTTTTGATCCAGGCCGTGTTTAGTTCGGCCAATTCGGCGCCGACGAAATCTAGCTACAGTGATGTTTTATTTTTATTTGGTAATAATTGTCCAATCGTTGACTAATTAGGCTCAAAACGTTCGTCTCATAAAGTACAATTAAACTGTGCAATTAGTTTTTGATTTCATCAACATTTAGTACTACATGCATGTACCGTAAATTTGATGTGACGAAGAATCTTCTTTTTGCATAGTGTCAAATTTGGGAATTTGGTGGAACTAAACATGGCCCCAGCTCGAATCTAGCGCACCCGTCGTTCTCGTTTACTTTCACATGTACTAGTTTATTGGGTAAAGTACACTTTACAACCCTCAACTCGCGCCGAAGTTCGATTTTGAACCTTCAACTATAAAACCGGTTAAGAAACACCCTCCAACTATCAAAACCGGACAAATTTGGTCCTTGGCTGGTTTTAAAAGAGGTTTTATATTTTCAGAGGCGCTGAAATTTTATATTATTTTTTGAGTATCTTAACGTCTTCAAATGAAAAAACTCAAAACTACAAAGTTGTAGATCTCATTGAGAGCTACAACTTTGGTATAAAAAGTATTTTCATTTAACTCCATACAAATAATATATTAGTACTCTAATGCGGCAGCGATTATTATGGCGCTGAAATTTTATATTATTTTTTCGAGCATCTTAACGTCGTCAAATGAAAAAACTCAAAACTACAAAGTTGTAGATCTCATTGAGAGCTACAACTTTGATATAAAAAGTATTTTCATTTAACTCCATACAAATAATATATTAGTGCTCTAATGCGGCAAGCGTTAGTAGATGATTATTATGGTGCTGAAATTTTATATTATTTTTTTGAGCATCCTACTGTCCTCAAATGAAAAAAATTTAAACTATAAAGTTGTAGATCTCATCAAGGTCTACAACTTTGTAGTTTTGAGTTTTTTTATTTGAGAATGTTAAGATACTCGAAAAAATAATATAAAATTTTAGCACCATAATAATTGCTGCCACATTAGAGCACTAATATATTATTTGTATGGAGTTAAATGAAAATACTTTTTATACCAAAGTTGTAGCTCTCAATGAGATCTACAACTTTGTAGTTTTGAGTTTTTTCATTTGAAGACGTTAAGATACTCAAAAAATAATATAAAATTTCAGCGTCTCCCGAAAATAGAAAACCGCTTTTGAAACCAGCCGATGACCAAATTTGTCCGGTTTTGATAGTTGGAGGGTGTTTCTTAACCGGTTTCATAGTTGAAGGTTGAAAATCGAACTTCGGCACGAGTTGAGGGTCGTAAAGTGTACTTTACCCTAGTTTATTTAAGAGGTCTGCGGTTAATCGGCAATATGAAAAGGAAGGGTGCGTTCATCAGCAAAACTTCCCAGTCACACATAGTACCTGTTTACAACATGACGTCGTCAAAATTCGTGCTACCTGGTGGCTGCTGCAACCTCGGGTGATCAGTTTGACTCAGGGAGCCAGCAGGTCCCAAGGGCCGACCGGCCAAACAAAAGATAACAAAGTACGTACTCCATCGTATAGAAGCTTAGCACATTCCATGTTACTACTATTAGGTACTTATATGTGGTGGAGTAATAATGTAGTGGCCAATAAATTGTTGAGCAAGTCCTTGTTTAAGATAACTATAATAAACATCGATTGTTCATGTCGGCAAGTGTTCAAACAAAACTAGGAAGCACACGCATCGGTTCTGGAGCCTTTGAATCGAACGGTGACTACGCAGCGATTTGGGGGGTACAGAGAGAAGCAAGTACGCATGTTCTGTACAGCTCAACAGAAGAGGAAAAGTATATTGTTATTATACGGCACTTACCTCTAGTAGATCTCGAATTCTCAAACTCAATCCTAATGGTAGATCCCCATGATCGAGCCGACGAAAATTCTTGTGTGTGATCGGAATCTACCAGACAGGTAGCGGTTGAATGTAAACAACATCGGATCCGTAAAGTTAAATGGCTAACTCAACCAGTTGGATAAGAGGGGTAGAACATGCATCTAATCATTTATATTCTACTGTTTTTGTTCTCGAAAGCGTGTCATTCTCGCTTCTCGGGAGTCAATGGGTCTCAAAATTTAACGAAAATATATACCAAAAAAATGCAACAGTTTTCGGAATTTTCATACTCTTTTCTCTGAATATAAAATTTTGATATGACCTTAAGCTTTACTTACCGAAACTCTTGTTACAGAAGCATAAGAACACGAAAAGGTGTGTTCACCACAAAATGGAATTACAACAGATCCAAGAGCCCAAGAACTACAATGCAATGAACGTTTGGATCTAAGAACAGCCTCAGCAGAATGCATTAGTCTTCCACTATATTGACGTTCAAGCCAACAGCATACCATTTGCGGCTCGAGGAGCTTCTGCATATGGCTTAGGGGAAATGTGCGCTCTGTTTTGTGATCATCATCGTCTTTAGGTATAAGACCAAACTTCAGAGTACTTCCGCCATGTATCGCCAGTTCATCTTGGCTTGACCAACAGGTCATGCATTCTCAGGCTGATGCAATGCCTTCAGATCATCACTGGAATCAACAGCAGTTTTCTGGGTCATTTGTTCAGATGCTTCTGTGTCAACCACTTCTGAATGATGGTTTTCGTTTATAACATCAACTTTTTTGCTAGTTCTTTCACTGTTCTCATTGTCATTTACCACACTATTCAAATTTTCTGGCTCCTCAGATACTACAAGATCAGATGTCTGCCCACTCTGAGCAAGAGTGGTTTCAGGGCTGACACCCATACCTTGTGCAAGTGCTACATACCGAAGTACTAGTTGCTTGTACGAATTCAAAAGGCTTTCTACATCAGCAATAGTCAGATCACCAGCACGGGAAAACAGGAACGGGTACTCCTGGATTTTTTTGTTCAAGTCATCTTCATTGAGGAGCTCTGCTGCTCCTTTCTTCTCTAAATCAGAAACAGATTGCACCTGCTCAACATGTTTTCCACTCAGTCACATCACTGTCCCTTCTCATATCCTGTCCTGAACCTTGGGCGTGATCTTTCAAAGATAAGCTGGCATCAAAATTCCTGTTAGCTTTAAGATTTTGTGATTTCCGATCTTGGACGTCAGGATTGGCTTGACTATCCTGGTTTTCTGAGTCAGCTGATAATCCCAACAAGCGTTCCCTTGCTGAATCCATCTTCCTTTGAAAATCTAGTTCATTCATGGATAATGATTCCCCATCAATGTTCCATATGAAAGACTCAGCAGACAATATGTTTGTAAAAAAGTATTGAGCCTCTGACACCAGTCGTGTTTGCCGTCTATATCTTTGTATGTACAACAGATTTGAGTGGAGCTGTGGAGGATTAGCCTGCACTAAGAACATGAGCTTGATTATTACAACAATCCTGACTGTTATGTGAACTGCAAAAAAATGATTAACAGAATAATATTGAGGCAAACAACAAAAGGATCCTGACATTATTGCCTAGATTTTTGAAATAAAAACTATTAAAGCTACTCAGGCCACAAGGGCAAATTTTTCAAATACTGTTAGAAGATAACCACAATACATTTTCTAGTGCTCAGTGAGACTATTGCAGAAGGGGAAAATGTAATAACTTATTTAAGACCACCTATTGGTTATGTGTGATTGACTGAACAATACTGACACCTATACAATCAGGCTGGGCCAAAAAGATTCAAAATGAAACCGTCTCTTACTTGCAATACTGTTCCGCAGCCCAAGAATAAGTGGGCAATGGTCTGAATCATCTGAAGCCGAGCTCTGGAGAAGGCAATCAGGAAATATCTCTTCCCAATCAAGGGAGCAGAACACCCGATCCAATTTCACTAACGTGGGAGAGGCACTAGAGGGGGAGCTGGACCATGTGAACTTGCGCCCATGGAGAGGTAATTCAGTTACTGCCATATCATTAATCCACCTTCTGAATCTTCCCATCATCGCTCTGTTCAGATTGCTGTTATTTTTGTCTTCATCTTTGTATATGAGGTTGAAGTCTCCTGCTACCAACCAGGGCCCAGTGCACTGACTCCTAATATCCCTGAGCTCTTGAAAGAACTAAATTTTCTCCTGATTATCTTGGGGGCCATACACACAAGTAAGCCACCAAGGGGATTCAGTGGCTGGACAGAATTGGACTGACACACTGTGATTATCCACTCGACTATCCTGAACAGTACCCAAGCGGCGTCTCCAGGCAATCAGAATTCCTCCACTGGCACCAATAGAAGGGCGGCAAATGAAATTGTTGTCAAAATCGCTTCCAAGCATAGACAAGATAAGTTGACGAGAAATTGCACTCATCTTTGTCTCCTGAAGACAAAGGATGTCAATTCTGGCTGCATCAACAAGCACGCGCACTGCATCTCTTCTTGCTACAGAATTTAGCCCCCTTACATTCCAAAATAAGATGTGTGATGGATTCATTTGGAGACAAACAGAGAACGACCAGGAACTCTAAGAGTAAAATCAAACTACACACTCCACCGGCCCAACAACAAAGTCCTCCTCTGTAGGTGCCCATCCAAAGAGAGCAGCCAGCGCCCTTGTATGGGAGGGTGTAACATGCTGACGAAAACGCTGGGCGTAGTCTTCAAGAAGCTGTTGGTCCAATTGCCCCTTCTCATCATCTACATCCAAATCCAGAGCCCGCATCACACGCTTCATCAGATGTGTGGGACAAGCCTTAGGCTGATCCACACCCAACCCAGCAATCCGCCGGCTGCGGCGCGGAGCTTCACTGGGGGGTGGCTTCTTTCTTCTCTTGCTGATGTGAGGAATCGGCAAAAGACCATTAGGAGTCTTTGCCATCTTCAGAATGAAAGCTGTGGCTGGACTGAGGGGTTGCGAAGGGGAAGTAGAAGCAACAGCCTCCCCCTCCATAGTCGCAGCCCTCCTGCTGGACCGGCGACGTGAATAGACTTGCAAGGGAGGCGGGGTTCTCCCCCGAAGTGGCGGCGCCAGCAGCACAGGCGGTAGCAGCTGAGTCATCACTTGCGGTTCCGGTGATGTGTGCTGCGGCACCGACTGCAGCAGTTTCGGCACCGGTCCCCCCAAAATGAGCTTGCTCGACTCGTTGCCGTCATCAAGGGAGACCTGAGTGAGATCCTTGCCGGCAGGGAACGAGCGTGCACCAGTGGACAGAGTCACGGCCATGACATCAACGCCCCCAGGACCACGAATGGGGGTCCGGTGCGGAGTCACTACCGCTACTGCCACGTCAACCGGCTTGGCCATGGCTACCACGCAAGCCAAATGAGGTTCTGGGAGCGGAGCCGTGTCCACGCCGTTCCGAATAGCAGTCCCCATCGGAGAAGCGCAGAGCGCCGTCAGAACAGGATCAAGGATTGGGATGTCATCCGGCGACGGAGAAGGGAAGAGACCTCCATCCGCATCCCTTGGTGGGTTTGAGATCAGGCCCAGCCGATCAGTTGCTGCAGCTTTAGGTCTGCTGGGAATATCTTCGATTCTACGAAGCCGCTAAAAAAGAAGAGCCGGTGTTTGGGCCAAGAATGAGCCCACCGATCCAGTTTTATCGAAGCGATGGCGGCCACTTCAGGAAAATGAAACATCCGACGACGACACCAAAAACGAAAGCCCCGGCATCTCCGGGATCGCATTCTCTTCCCCATGCCTTGGCACAATAACCACAGCCGCCATATCATCAATAGGGTCCGACTGAATCGAGGCGGTTGAAGGAATTGAGGGCAGCTGCGTCGCATCGGGCACAGGAGCCTGCGAGCCATCAAACGGCTCCACACCATCCGCCACGTGGCTGCCTGATACCGGACCAGAGCCGAGTCGACGGTGCACAGAGACCCGAGGAGCGCCATCTCGAACACCGAGCCACGGGTAGCGGATCGCGGGCGTAGCAGGGCTTGGCGGCGGCCGACGCCGCCATGGTCGGGTCTTCACGCGGCGAGAGGTGGAGGCGGACGTCATCCGCCCAGATGACGGAGCCAACGTGAGGTGATCTTGATATCATACTTCAACGCACGCTTCAATGGAGGAACCTCTTCAGCAAGCACAAGGGGCTCGACGATGACCAACTCCATGTCCGCCGGGATAAGCTCAGGCTGGGAACACCATGCTTTGAGCCGGAAGGACGAGTAATCCTGCCGGTCAAAAGTATCAGGGTGGAGCTCTCGCACCCAACACCATTCATCCAGCAAGTGCTCCGCCGTCTCGAGCTCCCAGGCGTGCTCTGGAATACCGTTCAACTCGACGCGATTGTGCGAGGGCAAGACCACCGCAGACGCATTCTTGAGTCGGGACCAACGCCGAAAATAAGAGTGAACGGCGGTAATAAAGCAGAGGTCCGCCCATCATTGTAGATACGAAGTTCTCAGATCTTCGTCGGGGAGAACCAAAGAAGCAATCACCCGATTCAGACGATGAAACTCAAGCGACTCAACCGGGAGTTCATAGCGGCGAGCAAGCTCAGCCACCAGAACGTCAACCGAAAGGGTCGCCGAATCTCCAACGATCGAAACTGAGAGTGCCTTGCAAAGCTCGTCCTCGGCCCTGGCCATCCTAGCCGAGCGGTTGATGATGCTACCGATGTCGGCGCAGGACACCCGCAGAGGGGCCTCGAAAAGGCAGCAGCGGCCGCGAGAGAGACTCGCCCGCTATCCTCATCCGCTCGCTAGGAGGCCTCCTTGATCGCCAGCCGCCGTAACGCCGCCGCTTCCTAATACGGCGTCGCCGCCGTCGTCAGTCTTCGCGTGCCATGATCACCCGCAGCACCAGAGCTCTCCCCGCCGGGTGCGGACTCCATGACCTCCATCTTCGTCGCGCCTGCTGCCTTCGGACGCCAGACAAGGAGACCCCGAGGCGCCGCTGAGATCGGAGCTCACCACGACCGCAAGACAAGAGACGCCTGCGTGCCTATCTCGATGGCACTTGAAGCAGCGAGTCCCTTCTCGGCAGACGGTAGCGCGGTGAGAAGGTGCGAAGCAGTTGAAGCACCTCCCCCTGAGGTCCACAGGCACCGGACGACGGGGACCGCGCAGGTCCTTCAGACGCTTCTTGCGGGCACGACGGCTTTCGTACTGCTGCCACCCGGACGCATCAGGGCCCACCGCAACGAACACCTGTCGAGGCCGCGCCTTGAGGATGACCTTCGGAGGTGGCGGGTCCTTCAAAGACACGCCGCGACGCGCTGACAGACGAAGAGGCGCCACCAAGCAAAGCAGGGCTTCACGGAAAAGAAGGGCGGAGGAGCCGCCCGACGAGGAGGCAGGCGCTTCTCGCCACCTCTCACCCTTGGAACGACCTACCTGGGGCCGAGACAAGGAAGGGGAAGAGTCTGGCTCCTGGGAGGAGGGGGAGGACTGCGGATGCACGGCCGGGATGGTGGCCGTCGGGCCATGAACGGACGCCGACGTGGGGCTGGTGGACGAGGGGGCGCTGGGAGGGGTAGGGGTGGGAACGAGTATCATATCGTCCAAGTAGATAGCTACAGCCATAGTGCTTGAGGGAAAAGGAAATGAGGAACAAAGCCAGCATGCACCATGCACAGACAGTCCAACACACTTAAGGACACCTCACAAGTCACAAGAGACATGTCCAATGCATCAGATTTCATCAGACACTTTGCTGATATTTTTCCAACATATATAAAAGCTAAGTAATTCTACCAAAATGGCACCGGCACAATGAAACTTTGTCCTTGCGTGTCAATGGGGGTTGATCTTCAATGGAGAACTGAATATAAAAAGTACTCCTGACAACAGATACTTCTTTTGCGAAGGCTATAAGCCATACCTTTATGGTGACATAGAGATAAGGACCGGAAGAAATTCGTCAGCTCCAGGGGGGGTTTCATTGGACACAATTGAAGCATTTAGAAGTAAGTTATTAATAACTTTACAGCAGTTCAGAATGCAGGCAAGCTTACCCCTTGGAGCTTTATACATGTTTATTTTCTGCAGCTCCTTCTGTGCGAGCTATACCAAAAACAAGAACAACAAGTATCAATTAGTCACACCTATATGAAGAATAAACAGCTGTTATGAGGTCTATCTAAATACATGGCTTGGACCTAAATAAATGGCATGGCCAGTGGGGCGCAATATACATTTGTTGTCTAATTTGAAGATCAGCAGATCCACTGACAAGGAATCATAGAAGTTCACATTTCCTTCAAAACTACATGTGTGCTTAACTACTACTTAAGTGGATAGCTGAGTTGACTGGCAGTGGTAAGAAATTGAACAGCAAAAATTCACAATGGAAGTGTAATATGTGAATGGAATGGCATACATATAGTAGTGCGTAGAGCATAGACATATATTACATAGGAAGGTCCAGCAGGCAACCCAACCCAAGACACAAGTACAACGCTATCCTAGTTCAGTTTCTGCCAGAAACTTTATCATGTGTGCAGCTTGCCAGGGATGCAATACATCCAGCAAATAAAATGCCCCAAAAACGAGGGAAGTTACTTTTCATACCAGCCAGGATGTTTCATTCTGGTACTCTGGTTTTATATCCAAGTTTTCAGGCCTTATAAATTGCTGTAGCAAAGCCATTTTCTCAAAAAGTTTTTCATCACTCTTCACATCTTCTGGGACTGAAGCAAGTACCCGATTAAACAGCTTTGTCATGACATATTTCTCAAGTCCCTAAAAGAGAAGTCAAACGTTGTCAAATTCCAGCACATACAACTATTATCCAGCATACAGCATAATAAAATGATAAAATCTTAGTCGGTATACACCATAATAAAATGGTAAACTATTAGTCAGTATACAGCATAATAAAATAATAAACTATTACTCCCTCCATTCCGTTATAGAAGGCATGCGCGCGTTTTTGGCTTTGGCCGTAGTAGTAGGCGGGCTCAAGTGCCAAGGAGCCAGCTAATTACTCCAAACAGCCGAAGCGTCGCATGCATGCACGGAGGCCTAGCACCAAAGCGTCAGATGCATGGGAATGACCCCTTTGGTCCATTAATAAAGACGTTGATGCTCGCTGTTGCGTTCCTACTTTCACATGCGAGCGATGAGTGCAGCGTGACAGCGTCGTTCGCCAGCGAGTTAATACGTTTGCACCAGCTGCTTGTATGAATAGAACAATGGTATTGCTATTAGTAGAATCAATTAGTACTTGGCAGTATTATTTACCATTGCTAGTCTTAATCGAAGAAAAGGGCAGCATGACTATTGTAAATGAGTGAAGTTTTGACATCAAATGCCATTTTATTGGACAGGGAATTATAAATTAGCAATGATCATAAAGAGTAATCAGATTTAAATAGAAGAGAAACTACTCAATAATATGTCCACCAAGATGAGGTGAAATTAAGATGAAGGGGCAAGAAAACTAATTAAGAGCACTAACAATATGCAATGAAACCAAATCAATATCGACATGTTTGATGCTGGGAACATTTAAAGTCATCTTGTACCCAAACAAGACAGAATAAGTCTTGTATTAGGTATTGTGATATCCGAAGAAAAGAATAAGTCCCAATTGAGTGGTGGGTATCTAGCAAATAATTCTCACAAATATACGTTTACAAATAAATATTTCAAGTGATTTCAACAGATCCTTGTGGATTACCAACAAGATTTCATTCCAAGAAGACATTTCTATAGTTGAATGGTATTTGGTAACAGTGCTGTTTCAACTAAGGATAACCAAAAGAAGATGGCAGGATATCCTATATGCTACTTTTGTAATAAATCTGAAACTATTTTGCATCCGTTCTGAGTTGCTACCGCAGTTTGGAGCACAGTAACCCTATGTTTTAATGCTGCTTACGATACAATATCTTTTTAACATTACTTTGTCTCGGTAAGTCAATGTTTTACCAGCATGTGTGGTTCTAAACTCCTACGAGATGAAGGAAGAAATCAGCACTGGTGTGGAAAATAACCATGATGTGACTCCTCAACAACATCCTGGCAACCTATGAAAGATGCAACTGTAGGAAAACAGCCTGCAGACTTAGCTGCTGACAGATGAAAGAGACAAGTAGAAGGGCGGGTCTAGTGCAAGCGGTAGAGTCTTACCGCCTGTGACCGGAAGGTCCCGGGTTCAAGTCGCGGTCTCCTCGCATTGCACAGGCGAGGCCGCGGGAGCTCTCTGCACTGGGTACGCCCTTAGATGAAAGAGACAAGTAAAGAACACCGACTATTGATGGGTTTCAAAAGGCTGAAATAATTTCACTGGACACTAAAAACATGTTTAGTTCTAGCCCTGCGGTGTGAGCGTTATTCGTCCGGTATTTGAATCTCAGTCTGCTTGGTGTGGTTGCTCAGTGCTGAACATGAGTTAGCTCATCTTTATTTTCTACCAACTCCATTATTTTCTACCAACTCTGACCCCAAACAGGAAACAAATAGTTATCATGAAATAAAAAATTAAACTCACTGCGTTAAGCCCAACGTAAGTACTCCATTATTTTCTACCAACTCTGGCATCATCTACATATGCTAAAGCATAGACACAATCAATCAAGTTTGCGGTACGGTACGGTACATATGATAAACCTCAATGCAAAACTATCTCACATTGTGCAATGTCTCTATCATATTGCAGCTTGAAAGGCATCCGTCAAAGTAACCTAAGCCTGAAATCCAGAAGTGGCGCAAAAAGGAATGACCTGTGGATCCAGCTCGAACCTACATAGAGGATAGGTTCCATCCAAATAGCAAACCTAGGTTAAGCTCTGCAAAAACAGACCTACTGACCCTACAAGCTCGCAAACACCGTTGGCTTACATTTCGAAGGGCACGGCAATGAAATCCCGTCCGTGCCTCTAATTCCTACTTCCCTCCTCCCGCTACTTCGGCTACACAGGCCACTAGAGCTCGACCAATCGCAATATGCTTCGCCGCGGATCTCGTCACCCACGAACTGAATCTCAAATGAACCTAATTTCACCCATGGGATTGAGGGGGAGTGGGCGCGGGGGCTAGAGCTGACCTTTTAATGGACTGGACGAACTCGGCGGCGGAGGGCTGGCGCATGCGCTCGAGGAAGTCGTGCCAGGCCAGCGGCGCCGTCGAAGAGGCGTCGGCGTTCCCCTCCATCGTCGCCGGATCGGAGTGCCCGGCAGTTGAGATCAGCGGATGAGCGGATTGGCTGGGTTCTGAGGAGGTTGGAGAGGCGAAGTCAAGGTCGCCCCGGATGGACCGACCACGCGGCGATTTTCTGTACCGTCGGAGTCGGGATCGCCGAGGGTGTGGATGTATGGTCCTATGGTCACGGCGCAACCGGACGAGCAAGATGGGCATTTTCGCCCTGTTCCCTTGAATTATATGCGGTATTTTTTTTTCAACTATCAGTATTTTTCTCTCACAATAAATCAGCTAATAGTACTTTCAGCCATGTCTTATCAGCCAAGCAAATTACCCTTCCGTGTTCTCGTGTTTTGTATGTGTGTTTTCCTTCTCATTTCGACGAAGTCATTGAAAATAACAAATTGAGATGGATGTTTTATTTGACATCATAATTAGGAATGTAGGTTGTGCTTTATCCGAACCATTTGGTCAGGTCGCATAAAACTCATTAAGGGCTTGGTCGGATGTGAATGTATTTATCTCAATCTATATGTGTTGAGATGAATTGAAGTAGAATTAAACTAAGTTATACACATATATCAAACAAGGCCTAAGAGCATCTCTAAGAGACTCTCTATTTTCTTCCTAAATGCTAGGAATAGAGATTTTGGTGAAAAATTACTATCCAACCGCTTGTCTAAATGTCTAAATATAGCCATATTCTATTCCGAGTTTTTCGCTAGCGTCTGCATGTGGGTCTCCATGAACTCGCCGACCGCGTCCCGCCAAGGCGAGGACGAGCCGAGCCCACCTCCGTGCCCCCTTTCTCTTTTCTCCCTGTTTTTCCGCCGCCGTCGTGTCACGGTCACGATGAGTCGAGAACGAGCACCTCTCATCAATTCCTCGTGCCCGCGTCTCCGCCCTCACGTCCCCTCTCCAGCCGCCCCCACACCGCTTTGATTGCAGCTCAGCCGAGCTCTAATTTTGGAGATTTGCCCACCACCGTGCCGTTATGAACCGTCACCGCCCGCGTCGTGGCCAGCCTTCACCACTTTATCCCGCACAAAGTCCTTTACACCACTAGCTTGTCATGGCTCCCTCTCCACCGTGCGCACGCCAGTGGGAGCGCTACCGCCTCTCCGCTGCGGCTGACGTGGTCGTGTCCACCGCGGCATGTCGTCGTGCTCGTCGCACGCACGTGGCTAGCACTGCTCAGGTAGTCGCTGGTCGAACCACCACTTCGGTCGGGTTCGGGGTGTGCCCCTAGTGCTTATTCCCCATCTCTATCGTTCTGTTAGCTCTGTGGCTCACCGAAACGCAGTTGCCACCGTTGCAGGTAGCCCGCCACCGGGGAGAGCCCGCTCTGCTTCACCCCGTTCGTGCAACCATCGTCCATCGTCGCGTGTCGGCCCATAGGTGAGCATTGGTCCCCTAGCAAGGTCTGCAAGGGTCCAGGGTGGCCGGCGATGTCGCCAATGTCACCGCTCGCCGCGTCGGAGCGCGCGGGGGAGGCCAGGGACCATGCTGTTGTAAAGAGGAGAGAGTACAAGGGTCTTTTTGCATAAGTGTTGTCTCTAGCAATATTAACGTGGACTGAGGGTTGTTTTGTTCATAATTCAAGGGCGTTTTGTTAATGTGCCAGCGCGCGCGGGATTTCCCCGTCGCGAGCCATCTCCGCGCGGGCCTGCGCCGCGTGGGCCGCACTACGGGCCGTTGTGCGCTCGTGCGCGCGCGCGCTGCGTCGCGTGGGCCGCGCGTGTGGGTCACGCGAGAGAATACATTTTTCTTTTTCATGAGAAATTAGAAATAGTTTTCTAATAGATGTTCGGGTCCCGGCCGAACTATCGAGGGGAGTGGTGAAACACGCCCCAGGCATTGTCGCCGGCCAGACGACCGGAGTCCCAGCACTAAGGGCCTAGGACCATGGGCCCTTGGTCGGCGTATCCAGAGGGCGCCGTTCCCACAGTGCTTCCGACCGCCCACCAACATTGCCAAGTACACCAAGGAGACGAACCCCGGTATTTGGCTCGAAGATTTCTAGCTCGCCTGCTGAAAGGATCAAGATGCCCAAGAGGGGGGGTGAATTTGGCTAATTCTAAATTTTTTTGCAATAATTAAATCCTACGGTTAGCCCAATTAACCCCTTGTGTCTAAAAAATGTTTCTAGTTGTTCTACCGCACAAAAGACTTGCAACCTAAGTTCTAATTCTACTCTAGCATGGCAATTCTATGAATTGTAAAGACAACAATTGAAATGCTCAATGTAAATGCTCAAAGTAATTACTCAAAGTAAATACTCAAAGTAAATGCTCAAATTAAATAGAGAAAGGGGAACGCGGCGATGTTTTACCGAGGTATCGGAGAGTCGCCACTCCCCACTAGTCCTCGTTGGAGCACCCGCGCAAGGGTGTAGCTCCCCCTTGATCCGTGCAAGGATCAAGTGCTCTCTACGAGTTGATTCTTCGACACTCCGTCGCGGTGAATCACCCACAACCGCTCACAACTTGAGTTGGATCATCCACAAGCTCTCTGGATGATCACCAAGCTCTCCAATCACCACCAAGCCGTCTAGGTGATGGCGATCACCAAGAGTAACAAGCACGAACTCTCACTTGACCACGACAAGCCTAGGGAGAAAGATGGATGCACACTTTGCTACTCTTGATCTCACTAATGAGGGCTCTCTTTGGAATTCTCAAATCTCAATCACCTCATTAGGACCTTGCTCTTCTTGGCACTCACAAACGTGTTTCTCAGCTGTTGGAATGAGCAAAAGTGACTCCTCACATGAGTGGAGCTCCTATTTATAACATGGGCTGAAAAACGAACCGTTATGTGCCTCTGCGGGGTGACCGGACGCTCCGGTCATGTTGACCGGACGCTCCGGTCAGTTCAACCCGCACTCCAGTGTTTAAGTGTTGACCGAACGCTAGCAGGGTCTGATCACCACTGACCGGACGCTTCCGATCACAAATATCCCTCTGTGGAACCTTACTGTACTCAACCGGATGCTGAACCCCCAGGGTCCGGTCAGTACTGACCGGACGTGTCCGGTCGTAGAATTCCTTCTCTGGAACCTTACTGGAGTCGACCGGACGCTGGTCCTCAGCGTCCGGTCACTCGACCACTCAGCGTTCGGTCGCACTAAACGCAATCTCCTTGGTCAAATGAATTGACCGGACCCTACGGCCAGCGTCCGGTCGCACCGGAGCCAGCGTCCGGTCAGTATTTGACCCTCCATTCACTTCCAACTCTCGATCATATATGAATGAAGTTTGCTCCAAAGGATCTTAGGCATATTTTGGAGCTACCTAGTGCTAGTTTTAACAAGTGTGCACCACACCTAACTCACTAGACTCACCTAGGTCAAGCTACCCGTCCATACCCCCCTTAATAGTACGGCCAAAGGAAAAACAAAGTCCTAAACTACTCTAAGTGTCTCTCCAACTCCAATCGACACTTAGAACTAGTCATCCTTAACCTTATCGTCCATCCTTTGAAAACCAAAACGATTTCCATCGTAGGGGCATGACATCCATGATTGCCCAATCGATCTCTATTACCATGACCTAACTTAATTGCCTCTGCAAAACACACGTTAGTCATAGTAATCTTGTATTGTCATTAATCACCGAAACCCAACTAGGGGCCTAGATGCTTTCACATGCCGAGCTAGAGGGGTGGATGATGACCTTTTCATCATTCAATATCTCCCCATCTGCGTGGGGGGACATGTTCGGGCGTGGCTCAAATTCCTCCCGCATGACAGCATCCGTGACTGGGCGGACCTCAAGAGGGTCTTTGTCGAAAATTTCTAGGGGACGTATGTCCTCCTGGTAACTCCTGGAACCTCAAGAGCTTTAGCAGGAGCCTAGCGAGTCCCTATGGGATTACATCCATAGGTTCTCCCAACGATGCAACGCCCTCCCTGATGTCGTCGATGCAAACATCATCAGAGCATTCCGCTTCGGGATGACCTGCGAGTCCCTGATCCACAAGCTTGACTACCTGAAGCCCCGTACCACCCGTGACCTGCTCGACGTCGCCACTAACTAGGCCTCCAGCAAGGAGGCGATCAGAGCAGTCTTCAACGAAGGTCGGGACAAAGGCAAGGCCAAGCACGCGGACCAAGACGAGGGCCCCTCCACACAAAGGGGCAAGAAGAACAAAAAGGATCAGTGCCGACCGGACAACACCGCGTTGGTCGCCGCGACTGATCGCACAGGCAAGCAGCCCTAGTAGGGCCTGCCTAACCACTTCAACAAGCTCATTGATAGCCCGTGCACCAACCATGCCTACCCCGTCAAACACCTCTACAAGGACTACGAGCTCCTCAAATGTTTCCTCCGACAGGCCGATGGGCTGAAAGAAGGAGACGACAGTCAAGAAAGGAGGCGCGGCAGGCAAGGACAGAGATGGCTTCCCTGACCCTGAGGAATGCATCATGATCTTCAGTGGATCCGACACCATCTAGTCCAAACGTCAGCACAAGGTGCGCTATAGGGAGGCATGCGCCGCTGAGACGGTCGTCCCCTCCTTCCTCAGCTGGTCGGAATCTCCAATCACCTTCGATTAGAGGGACCATCCCTCCCATGTCACGAGACCATGATGCTACCCGCTCGTCATTGACCCCATCGTCCGCAAGAAGCGCCTCACCAAGGTGCTGATGGACGGAGGCAGCGGCCTCAACATCCTCTACGTCGACACCCTCGACGCCATGCACATCCCCTGGTTGGAACTCCGCCTAGCGAGCTCTCCCTTCCACGGGGTGATCTCGGCAGCGTAGGCATACCCACTCGGGCAGATCGACTTGCCCATCACGTTTAGTAACTAAGCCAACTTCCGCTCAGAGATCCTCACCTTCGAAGTGGTGGACTTCCTAGGGTCCTATCACGCCATCTTAGGGCGGCCGTACTACGCCAAATTCATGGCAATCCCCAACTACACCTACCTCAAGCTGAAGATGCTAGGACTGAATGGCGTCGTCACCGTGAGCAGCGCCTTCTCGCACGCCTTCACGTGCGACCGCG